TAAATCCCCCCCCCCCCCCCACGGCTGCTAACCTAACCCCTTCAGGTTTCGCCTCATTGTCAATTCCCTCACCCTCGTCGATTATTATCACCTCTATTTGTTGGCATATATTCTATTTTATACTTCAATTTATTTTGAAGATGTCATGCACCTATCGTAACGTCTTAATTTATGCTACGTTCATCTTATGGACATGCCATCCTTTAATAAGTATTATGGAACGTGAAAATTGTAATAAATTCTTCATAGAGCTTATTTTCCTATCACACTAATTATTGGAAGAATTTTGTATTCGTTCAACTCGTTGCAAACTTGCAATAATATACATTTAATCATCAGAACTTATATATATGTATTATTATTATTATTTTGCAATAATTGAGCCTAGACACCGAAGTAAAGTAGTCACTCTTTATAATTACATGATCACCTATAGACTATAGTAGTGATAACTCGGTGTGGCCATTATTCATATTGTTGGGCACATGTTGCTAAATAATTCGTGGCGGTAATAAATAGAAACTAATGTTCATTAGTTGAAAAAAATAAATGACGATAAATTCGAGCTCTAAAATATAAGGAAAATGTTATATGTACATAATTGTTAACATAATAGTATCTTAATTACACGTGGCACTGGATCTAACCTTCAATTTAAATGTCACACTTGCATATCAACAATTGGATCATTGCCACATCAAATTATGGACACTATTATGTGCAATAATTATGTACAAGTAGAAATTTCCAAAATATAAACCTTTTTTGGTAGAAGTTTATCCCACATCCATTTCAACCAAGGAATCCCGAGACTCCCCAGTCTCAACCCTTATAATATCCTAGGCACTAGAAGTGGAGAATTCTCCATTATCATTCCGCTTCCATATGATCATATCACTTCCTTCTTTTCTAACCCCAATGGTATGTACTACCATCGTCTTTACCTTACCCACTAGCCTTGCAAGAAAAGTAACATCCCCACTATCATCTATCCAACAATCTCTAACCTGCAATCTTGGTTTATCACCTCCAAAACATGCTCACTCGAAGGGCTACTTGATCATACAAAAAGGATGCCGAGCATTCTTTTATCTTCCATTTCGAATTCTCATATACATCGAATAGTAGCTTTACGATTGACTTCCACAAGGTGGATCCCTTGTAATTAGAATTCAACAAAAGATGTCCACATTTTACATATTTGTGACGGAAAAACTTGTACCAAAAACTGGTAGTAGTCATAAGACGCCATGCAAGTTCCAATAAATAAGATATGTTAACAAACATTATTTTAGATATATTGCGTAAGCTTATAACTAATATGAAAAGATTTTAACAATTTGCATAATGCAAGCCTACATTAAGAGAGAGTATTCTAAGATTATATATATTTGGACCTTACTACATATACATCAATGATTACACAATACCATATGACATTTTATCGTTTGATTATGCTACATGTACAAACACATTTGAACTAAAAATTTTAGACACTCTCACAATAGAATGGTAGGGATCACATGGCCGACTTTTTTAATGCAAGGGGGACCCGCATGTATGTGAGAGTGAGTAAACTATTTTGTCAACCAAATTTTGTACAAATAGTTTTATCCTTTATCGTTTGTCAATTTTAAATATAATCAATTTTTTCATTTAATTTTTTTTTCCACACCATTTTCGATAACCATCTATATACCATTTTTATATACAACAGAGTCTGTTTGAGCCACATTATTTTAAAAAAATACATTTTTAAACAGTGATTTGATATCATTTCAATCACACATTTTTCAATAAAATAATATTACACGCAGATCAAAAAATTTTCCTTATCTTTTAACCACATATTTCATATCAATACACTATTCAAGAACGCATTATTACCAAAATAATGTGGTTCAAACACCCCCTTATTAGTAATAAAATTTACATATACAGACGTGAATTGTATATACCTTGTCAGGTCGCTGTTTGATTGAGATTAAAATAAGAATTTATCTTATATATTTCATATTTGAAACTTGTCGCCGGTATCACTCACAACAACTCGAGCAGGAAAGAGAAAAAAGTTCGAATTCCAATTTTACCCCCGTACAATTCTGACAAAACGCCAAATCGGATTCCACAAAACTCCACACGATCATTTCTCCGTTCAGACATTGTTCAGCTCTGCTCGTAAACTCACTGACAATTTGACGTCAACCGATGGTCCAGCCAAAACTCCAAGGAACCATTCACATGCCATCGCGTGGCGTTGAAGCAATGTCCCGGAGTGTGATCGTGGCGGTGAAGGCAGAGAAGGTGATATCTAAAACTGCATTGTCTTGGACCATCACACACGTGGCGAGGCCCGGCGACTGCATTCTTCTCCTTGCCGTCTTGTACGAGAAGATGAATGGTAACTCACTTTAACAATCGAAAACATCAATTTTGTCGTGTAATTACTGGTTAATTCACTGCTGTAAGTACTAATTTGCTGAGTAGGAATTTCATGCACGTGGTAGGAAGATCTTGTATAGCTTTTTTAACGCAGATGTGGTGTGTTAACGATAATCAGAATTATTGTATTTAAACAATAAATTGATAGTTTCATTTTTATTTTTTACTTCCAGGTGGGAGGAGATTTTGGGGATTTCCGAGATTGAAAGGTGTCCGTCGGAGTAGTGACCGGAAAAAGTTACCGGATAAGATCGGACAAATCTCGGAGTCTTGTTCTCAGATGGTATTCCAATTTCACGGTGAGCTTACAATAAAGAATTTGAATACATCGAAAGTAAATTGAACATTGATTGATGAAAACTGAACATTACAATTGACGAAAGTCGAAAATTATAATTGCTGGTGCAGGGGGCGGACACCAGTGAGTTTGAAAGATTTTTGAATGACTAATACCCCCTATAATAGCATTCGGAACAAAAACCTAAGTGAAAGAAATAGACGTTTAAAAGACGAGGAATCATACCAAACGTTTACTAATATCAGAATTATTTTACAACTGAAATAACTATTACAATGAAAAAAAAATTACAACTCATACTTGAAGTAATATTTACAATGTGTGGCCGAAGTTGGGCAAACTGCGGCTGCGATAGTGTCAAGGGGCTAAGTAAAGCTGCTGTCCTTGACACGTGGGCTCGTAAAAAAATGTGTAAATCTACAAAGAAAAAGTCAAAAATCCAAAAATTAAAAAAATCACGAGCTCTCAAGCAACTCGTGGGCTCAGCTCGACTCGGCCCGCGAGCTCGTGAACTCCCGAGGTCGCCCCGAGCAACTAGCAGAGCTCAAGCTAGCTTGTTTTCACGAGCCACGAGCCCGAGCCGAGCTCTTGGGTTAAAAGGTCAAGCTAGCTCGGTTCGATTCATTGTCATCATTACCTATAACATAAAAGAGTGACTTTTCCCTCTATTTGGCCTCCATTTTTTGAAAATAAAAATGGGTGGAATATTGTTTTTTTTTTTAAAATATGTGGTTGAAAAAGAATGAAAAGTTTTCAATTTACGTGTAATATTATTTTATGGAAGAATGTGTGATTGAAAATAGGAGAGAAAAAAAATGAAATGAAATTTAATGGGACCAAACGGGGGCTTTGTTATGGTACTGTTCATAGGAATGCGTGCCCAGCTCTTTTTTAAAAAAAAAATATTTCTTTCTGTTGTTTATATTTTCTTGTGACCGTAAAACGACATCGTATTATTGTACAAGCCTTAAAAAAAAAAAAAAAAACACTTTCACACGCAACACCCATCCGTCTGAGTACAGAGTCTACAGACCTCCATTCTCTTCTCAGAACTACGATATCTCTTTAATCCACCAGTTTCCCAGACAACCATCGACGCTTCTCCTTCTTCTTCTCTATTTTATTTTTCTTTCTCCCAAAATTCTCTCTATAAGCTACATAATCTTGCCGGAGCTTTCCGATGTAGATTCAAGCCTTTAAGCAGATGAAGCTATTCTTGAAGAATGGGTTTACAAATGTTTCACTAACCAAGTGTTGAATGAACTAATTTTACCGTTTCATTTTTTCTATGATTTGATTTTTTTTGGTTTGTATTCTTTGTGGTGAATGATTTTTTTTTTCCTTTAAATGCGACGAAACCCTATAATTGAATCAATGATGCTTTTTCCCCTTCCTTATCTTTGAAAAATCGAAATGAAAATCTTCTTCACTTGACTGATAAGTCATTTTCTCATCAAGATTAAATGGTACACACTAAAATGCGCAAATCGAAATGAAAATCTTCTTCACTTGACTGATAAGTCATTTTCTCATCAAGATCAAATGGTACACACTAAAATGCGCAAATTGTGTATGAAGAACAGGATGATCATGATGATTCCAGCTCAAGCAGTGTTCGTCACAATAAACGTGCGTACACCAGACAAGTACATTTCATTTCTACTTTTTTTTTTAATTTTTTTTAATTTTTTATGTTCTTATCTGTTAAAAAATCTTTGAATTAGAGTGAAATCAAAGTAAAGTGTGTTATTTAAAAAAAATAAAAATAGGAGGAATAGAGAAATGAGGAATGGAGATGTGTTGAATCCAGGCTTACGATGAGGCCCCCAAAGGTTAATTGATTTGTTTCTTTCTCAATTCTTTCAGTTTTAGTAGTCAAGACAATGTTAGTTCCCGTCATATTTTAGATTTTGGAAATAATCTGAAGAAAGAACAAAAATAAACCCCTGTTGAATTTTTGAGATTTCCCAAAATAAATTTTTAAAAATGTTCTGACACAGAAGAAAACAAACTCTGATTTGAAGCCAATATCTAGCAACTTAATCTAGTGAAGTGTGTGGATGCTTTTTACCAAGTAGTGTAAGAAATTAATCAAGATTGATGAAGAAACAACAAATAGCAGTACGCCGGAGAGGTTTTATAGAAACCTTTTACTGCTATTTCAGAGACTTTTTGCCAAATGTTTCCCAGCAATCGTTAGCTTTTTTCCCTCCTGTAAATAATCCATCCAAAATTTTTATATTTGGCAAAAAAAAAATTAATGATCAAAAGCTATTGTAGAATTTTAAGCTGTGTTCAATTATTAGAAAGTCGCACATAAAATTTTGAGATCTGGATATTGCTCTGTTTTGGTGGAGAAATGGGAAGTTGAAAGGACGAAATTGTTGTTGCTGTGATCACAATGGGTGGACCCACAAGAGGTATGGTTATTGTTTATATATATATATATTTTTTTATTCTTTCCTCTTTGACTTCTGAGACATGGAATTGAACTCTTTGTAAGCACAGTGCACAGACAGCTCTTGTTCCTTGGTCGCTGGGACACATCGAGCGATTTACCTCCCTTACAAATCTCTAGGGACGGGACGATGGGGGCTCTCAAGGTTAGGGTTCAACCTTTCATTTTTAATTAACTAATTGCACTATGTATGATTGCAATGTGGCATTGATTTGCTCTTAGAGGGAATAATGAGTTCTTTTATTATATTGATTATAACTATTGAAAATATTTTAGTTTTAACTAAATATTTGGATTTTTCGGATTGAATAAGATTACCCTTTTGTTGATATTACTATTTCTATAGGAAAAATTAAGATTTTTTTTTTTTTTTTAATTGAGATTTTTGGGTGCAAGTACTAGATTTAGGCCATTGTTATTAAATATTCCAAGGCCATTTTTTTCACCAGTAGGGCAGCCCATGGTTCATCAACCAATCTCTGCTTGTAAAAGGGTATGAAATTTCATTGAATTTATATCGATAGCGAAAAGATTGAATAATTTTGGATCACTGGCTCATGAGTTTTAGGAAGGCATTTTGTGACGTCAAACTTACAAATAAAATATCATTTACTCCAGGTAATCAAAGGGGTTATTATGTTAATCGAAATTTTTTGAAGTAGCTCACATATTTGTACAACTTTTGTAAGTGGTATTCAATGGAATTAATATATATCACTTGGTCATGGAATTAATAATTCTTGTTATCAGATAAATGTCTATTTCTGTGTGTTAAGAAATACTGTTGCTCGATCTTCTCTGCAACCTATCAGACTAACAAATGCAAGGATGTGTTCTAAATAAGAGCATCAATCTCCCCATTTATACCAATTGATAGGTCTATAAGTTTTGCAATTGTAAGGGCGAAAAGGGTAACTTATGCTTACCCAAGTCGAGTTTCTTACCTTTTATAGTGATCTATGTTCTCTGCACAGAATTGATGCTAAGGTTTCCAAATTGAAGAAAGAACTTGATGCGCTGAAATCATCAAATAATCATACTGGGGATGGTCATGAAACAAACATTCAAGATAATGCAATTCTGAGACAGTGGTTCCTGTGGAAAGGAATCGACATCCAATAGCCGCTAATGGTTGAGGACTAGAACTAGCTTTAGTTTATGAGGTGGTATATTTGTTGGCTTTTGTATCAAACACTCGGTGGACAGTATCTATTATTTCATTGTTTAATGTTGAAAGCGATATTGGCAGTTGGTTGTAATTAATTAATGTAGAGAGATGTTTCGAAAATAGATAAAGTTGAGTAATTTTTCATAAACAAGAGTTTGGAAAAAGAAGGTAACTATTAAGTTTAGATAAAATCAAGTAGAAAAATTGATGTGTACAAAGAGAAGAACATTGATTATGATCGATAAGTGGTGTAAAGAGAAAAAAACATTGGTTATAATTGGAGAACCTACATGGAAATAATGAATATATCAGTTCAATTTAACAAAACCTAGGAATACCGACCAAATACATAGCCATTGGAATCCCTAACCTAAGCCATTGGAATCCCTAACCTAAAGGGTCTGATTTGCGCTAAACTTCCTCTTTCTCTAGATTTTGGCCTACTGCTCTTTTCTCTGTTTTGTTGATTGCTTGGTATCAATGGATGTTCATAATGATTTTTCGTGTTTTTTTTTTTTTTTTTTGAAGATTGCGCAATCAATTTGAAGATTCCTACATCTAGACCGTCGATTTTTATTTCTTCCTTTTGTGTTCGTCCTTCTCAATGGCTCTATTCGGATTGTACATTTACAGGTAGTTTATATTTTTCTATTTTTTTGTGCATTTTGTTTTGGGAGCTTTCAATTTTTCTTATTTATTAGCTAGAAACGTACAAAAATATATAGTAAATTGAAGGGCTTGAGAAGGTGTAAGATGTGTGATATTTTTTTATAAAGAGTTCCAAGAATGTGAAGCTGCATAATTAGCACTTATGGCGTCTTTAGACAAAATACACATATCATTTTCGATACTTTGTCCCTCCAAACCCGAAGACCCTAGAATTTCTTTATAATATATACTTTCAACATGTGGATGAGTCTTAGTTTGGTAGGATTGTGATAATTTCAACCTTTCTACTTCATAATATGGAACCTTATTGGTTGGTAGACGGTGCATTCTTGCAATGTACTGACATGTGAATGTGATTGTTTTGATCATCATATTTTGAGTTGCCTGTTCCTTGTGCTAGCATGTGTAAAGTATTGCAACGTAAAAGAAGAATTGTCATAGAGATTAAGCTCTAGACTTGGTTACTTTTTCATCATCCTTTTTGATTCTTGAAAAGATGCTTGCACGTGATTCACTAATCCTTGATGATGATTTTATTGCATGTATGAACATCTTTCATTTTTGTTGTATTGCATTGATGTTAATTTTGAACTAGATAATACCGTTTACAACTCTTTTGCTATAATAGTCATAAGTTAAAATATTCCTTCGTTGAGGTAGATTGGTCATGTTTTAGTTTCTCATAATTGCAGGTTCCAAATAGAGCTACTAGCCATTACCTTCTCGTCAGACTTGCAATTTCCCTGAACAAGTAAATTAAACTACTTTTTGCTTTTGTCATTTATTCAACGATACAAGAAGTTCAATGTACAAAAGTTCATTCATTTCTCTTTGTGCCATATAATCATTACTAGAGTCAAAATAAATAAATTTTATTCAAATGGAAATTAGAATTCTGGCAATGAATATAAGTTATCAATTTTTGTCTCTTCAAATACTTTACTTGAGAAAGTTCTCCTTAGACTGGAACATAATTTATGGTTCTGAATACATTATTTTTTCAATGTTGTTACCTCAAAATATTTAGCAACATATACTTAAATTTGATGTAACTAATGTTTAACACAATTATTTATTTATTTATTTATTTATTTTTGTCTACTCTATCATATAGTCAACTACACTACACGTGTGTCTTACTAGTAATATATTAAAATATCATATCAAGGGAGAATCATTTTCTGGACAATTTTAACGTTCCTACAATTCAACTATTTCAATAATACTTCACTTTTCGTTTTTCGGTATATATAATAAATGCTATAAGATTATTATCATTTATGAAATTTGTGATATTAGTTCTCAATTAATTAACATTTAAATTAATCTAGATTCAATGAATTTTCACTCGATGAATCTTGAATTACATGAATCTAGAGTTATTATAGATGAATTTATTAAGATTCATGCATCTAGACATTTTAATGGGTGTTTAAATTTATGTATTAACAATTATTTTTTATGTATCAAATGTAGTATAAAAGAATTGCTCATTTATAGTATTTTATTATTACAAAAAAATTTGACTCATAAAAATTGAATTTTGAGAGTACAATTTTCTTTTCTTAAATTTCTATGTTAAATTATATTTTCTTTGAATCGTTCGAGACTTATCAAATTCTCCAATAAGTTGATATCAAATATTACTTTTACATTCCCTAAATTGATTTGAGCATATAATTGGTGGATTAATATCGTAAGATATTTACACTCAGTTATTGGCATAATCTTGAGAGTGATGCTATTTATCTTCGTCGAAGTTACAATCCTAGTTTAGGTAGAATTAAATAAGTTGTTTAATTCTACATTTTATTTAACATATCATCTAGCGACACTTAAGTAGGATTTGCAATCTTAACGGAGTTACATAACATTATTCTAATTTTGATACTACCACAGGTCCACGTGTCATT